ATTCCTTTAGAGACAGCATGAAAAGTCAGCTGAGTACAAAACATAGAGAGGAAAACAAGAAGAAAAGGGACAAGAAGAGAGGGACACAACCTAGAACAGATAATGGATGTCTATTCTATTAACATTTCTACATCTGGAGAATGGGGCTGTTTGATGTCTTCTCAGTTCAGAGGGGCCCCTTGCCTGTCTTCGCCTAGGGCCCCACATTTCCTAAATCCGTCTCTGCATGGGAGGAAAGAAAAATCTAACAGAAAAATTTAAGATTTAAAGAAAAACCAATACCAGTTTCAAGCTCATCTCAAAGCAGACTTTTCAGATTAGTTTAAGGTATGTTGGAAATGTGTGGATAAGTTGTCGAAATTTACTCATAAGACAAATTAATACATATTGGTTGCTTTTCAAATTAAACAGTAACGTTTTCCATCATATTTATTTATTTTTAATTTTTACATCATTTCTTTATCTTTTTGTTTACTGGTTGTGAAAGTATAAATGTACATTTTCCGAGTTCAAGGACGTGTCCTAAACGCAGCATTCTTTGCTATAAATGTGATGTGATGACCACAAAACGTAGACAAGTTCCGGTCTAGTTTAAGAAATAAATCATATTTTTACTAAATTATAAATGAGTAACAATGACTAGAATGGTTTATTGACTGGCATGTAAATAGGCAAAGTAAGATTGAAATATATTTCTAAAATTAACTCTAATTCCAAATATTTGCAAGTAAAACAGTTGGGTGCCCTCCGGGTGTTAGCACTTTTATTTTGACATGCCAAGGTCATCCATTTCCGGTTGTTTCAATTCAATCTTTACGCGGTGGGGGGGTCCAATGGAAGCCTTCGTCGTAAAGTGGAGAAGACAATCGAGTGAGATTTAAGCTGATAAATCTTGACACATTCAGTTAATGTTAATATAAATCTGGTTTTCCCGCCTCGGCCCGGAGCCTCCGTTCTCCCCCGCCTGTCTGGGAGCCGGTGACCCGCCGGTAGCCGCCGCTGTCCGGCCTTGTTTATAGTGATCAGGTCGGTGAGGGAAGCAGCAGGCCCGGCGCCGCTGCTGCTGCTGCTAACGGCCCAGTGGGCTCCGCTCTGGGACGGATGCTGTTCGGCTCTTTAGCTCAACCAGTAAGTCAGGACTCCGCCGGTACTTCCGAGTCTCTAACTGTGTTTTTTGTGGGACTTGTGAGCGTTTAAATGTCGGTTTCTAGCTTTTATTAACTGTTAGCTTGGGACTAGCTCCGGCTAACCCGGAGCTAGGTGTATGCTAAGCTAACGGCTAAACTAGTTAACGGTTGGAGATAACTTCGGACATTGATAGAACTGCCATTCTTCTTTAAATGTTTTGATAAGAAGGCACATTAAACTAACCATTAAATTAAATGGTTTTAAAATAATTTAAAGGAAACGTCAAAATAAACAAAACACGACAAAAATAAAGCTAATCACAATTTCACTAATTCCCAGTGATCTAGAAGCAGCAGATAGTGAGCAGGGTGATGGTGAGTCGGTGTGAACTTGTGATGCCCATCACAGCCTGGAGGTTTATTAGACCAACTTCCTGTAGAGAGGAAGATCATTTAAAAGGTTTTATTATTTAGTAAAACTATCAGATCACCTGCAGCCATGAAGGCAGAGAGGAAAGATTCCTTCATTAACTGAGGGACTGAAAATATCAGGTCAAAAATATATTTGGATCTTTGACACTAATGCTGCTTTTTTAACTTTGTTGTGTTTGTAAATGAATCCACTCTATGCATAAACCTGTTCACATTGATCATATGTAGGAGGAGATAAGCTTGGTTCTAAACATTAGGATCTAAGGAAGCCCAGTTAGAGACTATGTTCTAAGTCTGATTATTCTAATGAATAAAGTTAATCTGGGTCATTGAATTTCTGTTAAATGAGCTCAGAAATGTTTTTTTCTCATATATTTAAGTTGATGAAACAATTTTTAAACTTAAAAAAATACAAATAAAGAAGATGTGCTATTAAATGTATGAGAAGACTAATTTCATTGTTTGTTTTTTTCAGAGAACATGAACCAGATGCAACAATGACGTCCAGATTTGGGAAAACCTACAGCCGCAAGGGAGGGGAGGGCACGTCCAAGTTTGATGAGGTCCTGTCCACCAAAAAAGGCACCCTCAGTACCAAATGGGGAGACACCACCTACAAAGCCAAGGTGGGCTCCAAGCGAGCCGGCGCTCCCAGGAACGACTCGGTCCTGGAGGTTTACAAGAAGCCCCGCCCCTCCGCAGATGGCCAGGACGACCCGTTCGGCTTCGACAGCGATGAGGAGTCTAAACCAGTGTCGTCCCGGGCAGGTAGCAAGTCCTCGCCCTCCAAGCCTGCCTCAGCGGAGCCTCCGCAGGCGGAGAGGCCGAGCTTCTCCTCGGAGGTGGGGAGCTGGTCCAGCTTCCAGGGAGGATCCCACACGGCGCTGTCGGCTGAAGAGACTCTGTGGCCCTCTGGGAATGGGAATCAGCTGAGAGTGATGGAGGACACCGCCCGGTTCTTCAACAGCACCACAGCAAACACAGGTAAGACACACACCATCTCAGCTTAGTCATTATTTAGAAACTTAAACCAATCCTAAACTTAAGAGATCAGCTTTGGAACAAGTCCCACATTCTGAATGCTCCCTGCATGGATGTGACTCGGGAGGAATAGAGGCTGATGTCGACTCTGACCGCCGGTCAGTGTTGATGTTGAGATTTGAAGAGCTTTGACGGAGTCCTGGAGGCAAACTGTGTCTCAGTAACTGCTCTGGTCTCCTTCTGATGAGCGTCTGCTTTAGTTACATGGAGGCAGTCAGCTGGAGCGCTGCTGAGGACTGAGAACCGCTTGGTTTGGTCTTCAGGTTCTCCTCATAGTTCCGAGGTTCCCTGACCTCCACAGCAGATGTCAGAGGTGCAGCTAAAGAAGGAAAGCAGCATCTCCTTATTAAACCCTGTCAGTAGAAGGAGAAAGTGCCGCTGCTGTCCTGGTGGATGTCTGCACTGACCTTGGATTGATAAAACAAGATGGCGTCTAAAATCCTGCCTGACTGGAAACCGGGCGCCTCTTTCCCTTCAGACTCTGATCCAAATCCTGCCGACTTTACCTTCAAGAAGATCTTGGATCAGTTAGGAGTCCAGCGTGGTTTCTGCTCAGGTCCTCCTGAGGCTCCACTCCGTCCTCTGGACTCGCCATCAGCTCTCCTGTGGGTCATCTTGTCTTCAGGTTGGGATGATCCCTGTTGCTTTTCTGGATTTTTCTTAGTTCTGCCGCTATTGGTAAAGATTATCGACCATGAAAATTTGTTGTCAGATTTTTCTTTTCGTCGATGACTGTTTGTTTTTTGGCGGCTGGAAGTAGATGTTAGCGTTTTTCAGCTCTGTGCTACAAACTGCAGGCAGCAGGATAATAAAAGCCAACATATTCTGCCGGCAGGTTTCTACATTTGAAGTTAATTTAGGCGTTAATAAACTGTTTCAGAGGAGTGATCATAGCGCTCTGCATCAGCAGTGCTGCGTCTGACTCCCTGCCAGCTCCCAGATCAGCTTCTCTCATTGGTTGATGAGGCGCGTCCAGCAGAGAAAGATACATTTTTCCACCTCCAGCAGCTGCTGCTTCTGAAGCGCCTCAGATGCTCATGAGGCGCCGCTGCTCTAGACGCTGCAGGACCTTCTGCTGCACCTGGATTCGCATCAACCATTGACTTTACATGGAAACCAGCTGCTGCTGCTGCCTCTGCTGCTATCGGTCTGAACGTAGCATAAAGCTAATGCCTCTGCATTAATAAGCCTTCCTCTAATTCATCATTATTTTGTTTTTAGGGACTCTGAGTTTTAGGCCAAAGTGGTTGAAATGAACAGAAATGTGACTGAAATGGATCTGTGGTTGTGAGCGGTGCGCCCTAACGGCGCTCTGCTCTGATGGGGGCTGAAGGTGTGGACATCAGAGCTCTGCCTCTCCTGGTTGAAGGTGGATGCCATTCAGGATGCAGAGCCTCATGACATCACCCTCCAGCTACCATCTGGGCTTTAAAAGCAGATCTTAGGTATCTAGATTTCCCTGGGGGTCAGTGAGGGAGGGAGTGATGGTGATCTCAGGAAGTGATGAACAACCTGCCGCTTTTCCACTCATGTCTGTGGCGGACGGGTGGACGGGTCCTGAGGAGGAACCGGCGGCAGCGTTGAGACGCATCATCAGTTTGTGTGGACAGTCTGTCCTACAGCCTGTTTGGGATTTTAGGATTATCGTTTTCTGTTGAAGTTTGGGGGAAAGCTGAGGTCATCAGATGTACTACCGCATGGTCACAGTCGCCCTCAGATTGCTTCCTGCCGCCGCCGCCCTACAGCTACTTTCACTGCTCACCTAAAAACACCCTGCAGGCAGAAGAGGTCACAGTTTGATCATTTCATCTCTGAACAGGATGCCCTCAGCGCTCACTGCCTTGTTAATGGAGCAGGGGGAGCTGTACAATATTTAAAATGGCCTCTAAAGAATACACCGTTAGAAATGTAACGTCATGGTCTCTCTATGTGAAGCTTTGAAGGAAGTATTCCCAGTTTATTTACTGCAGCATTTAAAGTTAGCCCTCATTAAACTGCTTTAGGCTAAAGGGACATGTTTTCATTTTAGTGGAAAAGCTCAGCAACCACAGCAGAGGACTGGTCATTGTTTCTGCTGCATAGACTGAGGCCAATTCCATTCTATTCAGTTTATTTCTATAGCTCCAATTCACATCATGTCATCTCAGGTCACTTTCCAGTTCACCAGATCATCCAGTCAGATTGATTCAAAGTTTTCTATCTAAGGAAAACCAGCTGATTGCATCGACTCATTGACTCTTCAGCAATCCCTCACACTAAGCATGCTTGTAGCGACAGTGGAGAGGAAAACCTCCAGCAGAACCAGGCCATGAGAATATCATTAGTGACTTTCACCAGAGCTGTTTCAGTGCTATGATGAGCTCTAAAGCCAGACTGAAACTCTTCAAGAAGTTCATTATGGTGACAGTGATCGGACACAAACTACTTAATCAAGATATTAGATCAGAAAGGAAGATTGGATATAGGTCTATAATTGACCAAGAGCCTTTGGTACATATCCCTGTAACAGATAGATTAATCACATCTAGAATGGAGGAGGAGATTAAAAACATTAACCAGATTTAATGGGTTGGCTCTAATTCTGCTAAGATGGAAAAATAAATCTTACCTAATAATATTAATTGAACTTTATTGATCTCGCATTGGAGAAATTCCCTCTCTGCATCTAACCCATCTCCTCGGGGAGCAGTGGTCTTGCTCAGGGACCCATAGTGGCCAGCTGGGGTACTGCATCCTTCCCAGAGCACAGAGCGCTGCTCTAACCTCTAGCCCATCAATCCCCTCAGAAATACTCTAAACCAGTAGCTCTGCTGGTGGACTTCTCAAGGTTCAAACTATCAGTTTAGAAACAAACTTACCTTCTCTGGAAACGTCTTACTTGTTAAGATCAAAAAGGTATCATTTCCAATATAACATTATGATTCTGTGTTATTATTTAGACATTTAAATAGGTTTCCATTCAAAAACAATATTTTAAATGCCGTATTTTATTGTGGAGTGATGCAATCATCAGCAATGTTCAGAACGCAGCAATCTCCAGCATCAGTTTGTTCGTTCAACACAAGATTGATATTTTCATACCTTTCCTGTTAACGTGTTCTCATCACCCCCCCCCCCCACCACTGTTAGCCTAAGGACTCACCGAGCATCCAGGTCTGCAGTGGTTGGTACTGAATGACTGTTGATGGTTGAACTGGTTGGCTTAGAGCTCCCAGTGCAGAAGCTGTCCTGATGACTGGGTAGAACTCTTCATTCACCACTAAGATCAGAGACGACCTACTTCTACAGGTCTGACACAGAGGAAGGCCTGGATGTTGAACCGTTTCCTGTTTGAACTCTGTCAGCTCAGCCGTCTTATTGTGTTTATATCTCAAGCAGCCGGACTGGGATTTTCTCACCAGCAGCCATAACTCATCCCAGCTTATATGTTTAATCTCAGCTTTAGTTCTACAGTTAATCTGACTTTCATGAAGACAAAGCTCCTCCATAGAGGCTCTGCTTTAGCACCGGCTGGAAATGAAGCTGTTATAAGGTCATGTTTCCTGTTTCTGTCCAGACATTCGCCCAAACTTGATGATTTGTTTTCTCCCTTCCAAACCACACGCATCATCAGGCAGGAGGCGTGTTGAATAAAACCAGCAGCTATCAGCTGGTGGTAGGTTTGGCCTGGATGGTTTCTGATGTGGCTCTATGACCCGTTTGCTTCACGCTGTCGGGTCTTTGCACCTGGAGACACTATAGAGGAGGAACTGCACTTTGACTGAAGTTAATTTAACACACTTTAGTGGAGTTCCTGTTCTTTCAGCCTTGGTCTGCGAGGGCTGCAACAAACGATTATTTTGCAAATCAGTTATTCTGTCGATTATTTTTTTCAATTAATAATTGGATAGCCAAAAAGAGCCATGCCATTAAGCCAGCTGAAACT